AAGGTCGACAAGACAACCATGTATTTGGAGGATACCGCCATGCTGTGGTGGAGAAGGAAGTACGGGGACCGAGAGAAGGGTCTTTGCACCATAGACACGTGGGAGGAGTTCAAGAGTGAACTCAAGAAACAGTTCTGCCCTATGATTGGGGAAGAGGAGGCGAGAGCTAAGCTAAGGCGTTTACAGCACAAGGGAAGCTTACGTGAATACGTGAAGGAATTTACTGAGGTACTCCTAGATATCCCTGACTATCCTGATAAGGAAGCTTTCTTTGCTTTTACGGATGGGTTGCAAGGTTGGGCTAAGATCGAGGTCCAAAGGCGTGGGGCTCAAGATCTCGACACTGCCATTGCTATTGCCGAGTCCTTGGTGGAGTTCAAGAAGCCGGAGAAGGTGAAGCCACCGACTAAGGAGAAGGGCAAGGAAAAGAGTGGGGGAGACCACCGTCCACACAAAGAGGGTTTCCAACACTTTGATAAGAGCAAGGGGGCAAAGGAGACCAAGACATGGGAGAAGAGACTGTTGAAGTGCTTCTTTTGTGATGGGCCACACAAGGAAAAGGATTACCCGAAGAAGGCCAAGCTCTCGGCCTTAGTCGAAGAAAGGGAGGAACGAGAACGGGAGGAAACTATGGTCGGTTCCCTTCACATTCTCAACGCCATTAAGGCCAAGGTAACCGAGACCAAGACGGAGAACAAGGGGCGTTTGTTCGTGGAAGCTAAGGTACGTGGACAAACTACTAAAGCCCTTGTTGATACTGGTGCTTCACACAACTTCTTAGAAGTTAAGGAGGCAAAAATATTGGGCATCCCCTATGTTGAAGACCATGGTTGGCTGAAAGCTGTTAACTCACAGCCTAAGTCAATCTATGGAGTGGCTCGTGGGGTTAGGGTTACCTTGGGCGAGTGGAGTGGCTTGATTGAGTTTTCGGTCGTTCCTATGGACGACTATCCTATCGTGTTGGGCATGGAGTTTATGGATTCGGTGAAGGCAATACCGATTCCGTTTGCCATCACTATGTGCATAATGAAGGAGGGCGAGACTTGCATGGTAAAGCTATCCCGGGAGGAGAGGATCCAATCCAAGCAAATCTCGGCCTTGACCCTAGCTAGAGGCATGAGGAAGCGGCGACCTACATACTTCGCCATCTTGAAGGAGGAACCAGTGCCGACAAATGATATGCCGGAGGGAGTGGCTAAGGTGCTCGTGGAGTTCAAGGACGTGATGTCGTCCGAGTTGCCGAAGAGACTTCCGCCCAAGAGAGACGTAGACCACAAGATCGAGTTGATCCCCGGGTCTACACCACCAGCGGGCGTGCCATATAGGATGGCACCACCCGAGTTAGAAGAAATGAAGAGGCAGATGAAGGATTTGTTGGACGCGGGATACATCCAACCATCCAAGGCACCCTATGGCGCACCCGTGTTGTTCCAAAAGAAGCATGATGGGTCATTACGTATGTGCATCGATTATAGGGCGCTAAACAAGATTACGGTGAAGAACAAGTATCTGATTCCACTCATTGCGGACTTGTTCGATCAGCTTGGAGGAGCAAAGTGGTTCTCAAAGTTGGACTTGAGGTCGGGCTACTATCAAGTAAGGATTGCCGAATGAGATGAGACGAAGACCACGTGTGTGACAAGGAATGGTTCCTTCCAATTCCTTGTAATGCCATTCGGACTCACGAATGCTCCAGCTACGTTTTGAACCCTCATGAATCGGGTATTTGAGCCGTTCTTGGACAAGTTCGTGGTGGTTTACTTGGATGACATAGTCATCTATAGTAAGAATTTGGAGGAGCACATTGATCACCTAAGGCAAGTGTTCCAGAAGTTGAGGGAGAACGAGCTCTACGTAAAGAAGGAGAAATGTGCCTTTGCTCAAAAGGAGGTGACGTTCCTTGGGCACATTGTAGGAGGGGGCAAGATCCGGATGGATAAGGCGAAAATCGAGGCAATATGTGGATGGAAGCCGCCCAAGAAGGTGACCGAGTTACGATCCTTTCTTGGACTTGCAAACTATTACCGACGGTTCATTCAAGGCTATTCTTCTGTAGCATCTCCGCTCACTGATCTATTGAAGAAGAAGGTAGCATGGAAGTGGGAGGAGAGGTGCCAACATGCATTTGAGGAGTTGAAGAGAATTGTGACCGAGGAGCCTGTCCTAGCACTCCCCGATCACACAAAGTCGTACGAAGTCCAGACCGATGCCTCAGACTTTGCTCTAGGAGGAGTATTGATGCAAGAAGGGCATCCCATTGCCTATGAGAGCCGCAAGCTGAATGACACTGAGCGCCGCTATACGGTCCAAGAGAAGGAAATGACAGTCGTGGTGCATTGCTTGAGGACATGGAGGCATTATTTGTTGGGGTCCAAGTTCGTGGTGAAGACGGACAACGTGGCAACAAGTTATTTCCTCAATCAAAAGAAGTTGACGCCGAAGCAAGCAAGGTGGCAAGACTTTCTTGCGGAGTTTGACTTTGTGATGGAGTATAAGCCGGGGAAGACAAACAATGTGGTCGACGCATTGAGTAGGAAGGCTGAGCTAGCTGCCATCACAAGCCCGAGTTTCCCTTTGGTGGATCGAGTCAAGGAGGGACTGAAGCATGACCCAAAGGCCAAGAGTTTGATGGAGTTGGAAAGTCGAGGGAAGACACGCCAGTTTTGGCTTAGAGGGGGGTTGCTCATGACCAAGGGAGATCGGATCTATGTGCCGAAGTGGCAAGGATTGAGGAAGGAGATCATCAAGGAGTGCCACGATTCGAGATGGGCTGGACATCCCGGAATTAGACGCACAATGGCACTAATAGAACGTGCGTATTATTGGCCCCAAATGAAGGATGAAGTGGAGTTGTATGTGAATACTTGTCTTGTGTGCCAACAAGACAAGGTGAATCAACAACAGCCAGCGGGTTTGCTAGAGCCGCTGCCCACACCGGAGAAGCCGTGGGAGAGCATATCTATGGACTTCATCACATGTTTGCCTAAGTCCGAGGGGTGTGGGAACATTATGGTCGTGGTGGATTGGTTTAGTAAGTATGGAGTGTTCATTCCTGTCCCTACGAAGTTCACCGCTGAAGATGTCGCACGCTTATTCTTCAAGCATGTGGTAAAGTATTGGGGCATACCGAAGACCATCGTAAGCGACCGAGATACCCGTTATATCGGGAAGTTTTGGATGGAGCTGTTCAAAATAATGGGGTCCGAGCTTAACTTCTCTACGAGCTTTCACCCCCAAACCGACGGCCAAACCGAGAGGGTTAATGCTTTATTGGAGTTGTACTTAAGGCATACCGTGAGTGCAAACCAGCGATATTGGGCAAAGTTGCTCGACATAGCCCAATTCTCATACAATTTGCAAAGGAGTGAGTCGACGGGGGCAAGTCCGTTCGAGATTGCCACGGGGCAGCAGCCGGCTACTCCGCACTCTTTGGCCGTGGGATATCGAGGTCCGAGTCCATCCGCGTTCAAGTTTGCCAAGGGATGGCATGAGAAGGCCGACATGGCGAGGGCATACTTAGCTAAGGCCTCGAAGAAGATGAAAAAGTGGGCCGACGCTAAGAGGAGAGACTTGGAATTTGAGGAAGGAGACTTGGTGCTAGTGAAGCTCCTTTCCCACCAGAAGTATACGTTCGCCAAGCTGCACAAGGGGCTGGTGCGGCGATATGAGGGTCCGTTTCCCATAGAGAAGCGGGTTGGTAAGCTTGCTTACCAACCCGCTTCTCTATGGGAAACTAGAAAACCGATTGTGGAGAAACTCGTACAAATGCTTTATTGCTCTCAAGCTTTCGATGATACAAATGAGCCAGCCATGAGGGGTATTTATACTTATCCTCCTCCTCAATGGACGGCTTAGATCTACTTGATCTAACGGCTACAATTTAATTCTAGAGTATTCTATACAACTCTATGATATTCTAGAGTATTCTACTCTATTCTATACAGGTGTACACTTATCTACACGAGTCTAGAATGTTCTCTTAGCCTCCAGGATTCTGCCACTCTCTCTTAGGCATCTCTAGACTCCATCTGGTACTCTATCCGGATTATGCCGCGGCCTACTTATGTGTCACGCCGCGGCGTATTATTCTGTATGTTGCGGCATTCAGGAGAGTCGTGACATATAATTATACAAATGAGCCAGCCATGAGAAAATGCCTAATAGGATGGTGAAGGAGCTTACAGGTGGCTATATAATTAACTATCACGCAAATGACGTGGATAAAGACCCTATTGAGATAGACTTCACACCACCTTTAAGAAGGATTGATATGATCAAAGAGCTAGAGAAAGTGGTATATCTCAGTACACCCAAGGAACTTGCTAGTGATGAGGCTAACAAGTATTGTGGTGCCACCCCACAGGCATCATGATACCATTTTTCAAGCTGAATGATGGAGATGGAGTTGAATGATTTACTTTAAATGTTCAAGAGTTTTTCATATGTATTCTATTTTTTGATGATTTATGTTTTCATGTAGGCCTGGACTCGGGCCGAATCGAGCCCGAGCCAGGCCTAGGCCCAGCCAGGCTGCCGGTTCCATATCCATAAGCACGAGACCGGCCCGGGTCTTGACCGGTTTCGTGCCAGGCCAGATCCAGTTCATTTTTTTTATATTCTTATTTGTTTCACCCCCCACCCCCCATCCCCCCCCAACCCCTCGAAATTTCCCCGCCCAGCCCAACTAACTCCAGCCCAAATAACCCCATCCAAAACCAAAAAAATCGAAAAAAAATAAAAAAGGGCCGAACCGAGCCCGGCCCGGCCAATTCCCCTATTCCCTTACCCGTGCCCGGAACTGGTAGACCCCCCAGGCCTAGGCCCGAACCAGACTCGGACCCGGTTTCCCGGGCCAGGCCAGGCCCACACAGTAGCGGGCCGGGCCAGTTCCCAGGCCGGATGGCCCGCACCGAGACCAAGCCTATTTTCATGCACAAACCGAATACCTTTATGTGCTCTACAGAGTACATTATAAATCACTGGATTTAGAGTATACTAGACTATTAATTCCTGCCATTGAGTTTTTGACCACTCTTATCTTGTTTGTATGATTTTGGGAATTTTACTAAAATTGGACAAAACCTTACCCATAAAAAAATAGCACAGATGATATTTTGTACATCTGCCATGAAAGTAATCAGTAGGTTATAAATATAAAAAACGAGTAAACACCGCAATAGCTCAAGATGTCCAACAGATCTAACAAAATGTTCCTAAATAGCAGTAAATAAAAAACAGAACTCTCCAGCTAGCAATATAAACCTAAAAGTCTGATGATACAAGCATTCTCTGGAGCCCTTGAGACGTGAAAAATCAATTCTAATCATCTGCCTTTTGTGTAGGTTCAGTACTTGACAGAGGAGAGAATATCAAGCTGAGAACCAAGTTTCTCTTCTGCAGCCTTCTCAGCTTTAAGCCTCAATTTTGTCAATTGCTTTTTCCTCTCATATGTTGCCTGGGCTCTCTCCTTCCTCTTATTCTCCAGGGCCTATCAAAAGTATAAGTTGCAGTTATAAATGCTGGTTTCACATGTAAAATTTCATGAAATATAAAGTATGAAGTAATATAAATACAGCAGAATTTCAGCATTTAATGAAGTCAAGTTTTCTGCACAATTGAGTATTATAAGTTGACAAAATAAAGAAGTGAACTACAATGAACAACAGAAAAGAGAAATTTCATTAAATTAACCCAAACAAAGTTTCCAAGACACCCAAATATGGTTTAGCTTAGTTTTGGTCAGTTGCTTTATCAAATATATCAAGTTCAATTCACAAGATCTACATATGCAGAATCACAAAATGCATACTCAATTCACATGAGGTGATATTGGTATTTCATAAATTTTGGACTACTTCGATAGATTTAGAAGAGTAAATCACAAAGGTATGGATTAGTCAGAGACCAACATTAATGTAATCCATTAATAAAGTTCAAACATAAAAAACGAATTAACTAAATCTCCAAATGAAAGAGCTTCAGATATACTGACACTGTACAAGAGATCAATTCAATGAAATGCAAACAATAATTTTTTGTAAAGATTTATCATTTAATGTGCATATACTTTTACCTTGATAGTGTCATAGTGATTCCATCCAACCTCAGATGAAAGTTTTCCCAATAAGCAGTACTTGTGACCAGCTTGGAGCCTCAAAACCCTATGCACAAACCAGAAAATTGGGAATCACTAACAAAACCAATCTTAACAAGATAACCAAATTTAAGAAAACAGCTTTGCACACGAAAGGAGAATAAAAAAGATAAATCACCTGAGAGCATCAGGAATAACCATCCTCTTCACTTTATCATACGGTGTAGGCACCCCTTCAAAAACCTTCAGTCGACCAAGAGCAGCAGCACCGCGCTTAGTCTTATGCGGAATCATCCTGTACATTCAAATATTCATCACATATAATCACGTATAACTGTAGAAGGAGACATACAATTGGATACAGATTAGTAGAATGCGTCCGTATACGTATAAGCAAATGAATGAGACAGATACAAACCCTCGGATGGTACGCCATAGGATCTTTGAAGGAGCACGGAAATGGATTGGACCGTGAGAAGGTTTAGTGTTCATGCGCTTGCGTAGAAAGCGGTGGTACTTCATTTTCTGACGGACAAGGCCGCCGGAGAGGCAGATCTCCTCACTTCTCGTCACCACAACTCTCACACCGTTCAACAACTCCTTGGCCAGGATGGAAGCCAGCCGCCCCAACATGTGGTGCCTCGCATCCACCACCACTCGATTGACGCGGATTCCTGATCCCGACACCATCCCTGCTGTCTGCTCTCCAGGCGGCTTTCACCTATTTCATTTCACGCATATTTGAGAAGCTTAAAGTGCTGTAGGTTTTTCATATATGGGCCTATACCAAAGCCCAAAATTTGAGAAGGTTAAAGTGCTGTAGGTATTTGAGAAGGTTAAAAGAATTAGGTTCTCACCCGTGCGATGCACGGATCAAAATTAAACAATAATTATATTTTATTATTTGTAACATTATTAATAAAAGAAAGTTTATATACGATTCGAATGTGTAAATGTAGTAAAAGAATAATAAAAGTAATATTAGAAGTTATAATGTAAGAGCTGGTGCAGATAATATTTTGAAAAAAAAATAAATATATATTACAATGTGCTTGCATTAGTCTAGAGTCTAGACATGTATATGGAGTTAGTAACATGTATATCACTTCTTAATTCCAGATGGAACTCAAAATTCAAAAAATTAGAGAAAAAACTTTTTCAACCATCACAATTCATGCGTTAAAATGTCGTTTTTTAACTATTGCTCTATTCCTCTTCAACACTTTGAAGCTCACCTCTTATGCAATCTGGCAATGCTTTGGGCAGCTCCATCTTTGCATTCATCAGCATAAATGTAAAACAACAATTACAGGTGAAGCGCTACTAAGCTTGATGCAGAAAGTTGAAGTTTTCTGGTACTGACCTTTACACATACAAAAATGATAACCCCGGGATCTAACCACTACCACTGGTGTGATTCATGGCGTGACACTGTCAGTTGGTACACTGAATTGTTATTATGCCTATGTAATTTGTCTTTCATCATTTACAATCTTTCCTTGCTTTGTATTGCAGATGATCATGAATGTTAAGAGCAGCTTTTAGTTTACTATTTAAAATAAGATTATTTTGGATGAGAAAAAAATTAATAATCCTGGAACTATCATATCTTCATTCCCCCAAGTCACTGCCACCATATGCTTCCCATATATGTCAGCTTATAACACCAGTAAGTATTGCCATATGAATGACATTCATTGTTTTAGATAAAGCTGCTATCCACCGTCTCATGCAACAATGTTGAAGCATGAGATTTTCTTTCTTCCAAGAGTAATACTAATAAGTGTTTCCATAAATTTACAGGTAACAGACATTTGCATCGTACATGATTCTGTGTTGCTGCTTCTTTTCTACAAAAAGGACACATTGATGACAGTGAGGTGGTGTGTTGCTGAATCTTTTGTTACCGCACGCTTGTAGGCATAATTGTTTTCCAACACGCAATAAGAACATTCGCCATTAAAGAAACACTATCCTACTTAAGATTTTGGAATAGGTAATTTAACAAATGTTTCATTTTTCCATACATTGAAAATGAGTAAACACAGACATACACTTTCTTCATTAGTACAGATCTCGAGGGAGGGGGGGAATATTCGGAACGACGATCAAACATTATTGGCACGTTATTTTATCCGTTCAGACTTAAGACCCATTGATTTCTCATCATCTTCCCCGGCTATAGGGCTGTAAAGATCAAGAGCTTCTAAATGCTTACCGTCCCTGGGAGAATTGCTATCAACATCCATTAGTCTATAGAAGAGCTTGTGGTTGCAACCGAACTTCTCCAACCTCAGCTCGACCGCCAATGCAATTCTTTAGAAGGACTCTTTGTCTTTGAGTATTTGTCATCAGGTGAGAACACCTAGACGCACAAATGGAGTAGTAGGGTTTTGTAGATTTAAGATGGCCTATAATCTAACAAAGCACATTGATGCAATCCTGATAAATAAGATGAGACAATTGAAGATGGAAAGCTATGTGTACCATTAATAGTGTGTAATGTACTACATTACACACACACACACTAACTAACTAACACATCTAAAAATATATATAGATTCAGAGTTCAAATTGCATAAGGATTTAAGGAGGTTTTTACTTAAAAAGGATCTTAAAGACTTAAGAATCTTTCATGAGTCTTACATTGTGTCTGGACAGTCCCTTGACTTGCTGGACTCCCATTTCAATGGTCAGGGTCCTAACTCTTGCTTCAACTGCCCATTGGCTTTCTTGGACTGCTTGACAGCCTCTTAACTATTTCCAAACAACAAATTGACTAATCAATATGAAGCCTATAGGGATGTCAATGAAATTTCCTATACTTGGAATATTTTCGCCCATATTTTGTTTTAAAATTACAAATGAATATTCAAGCCACTTGAACTGTCTCTTTAGTATAAATTGATTTTTTAGTTTCGAATTTTTCTAAACTGTCTCTTAAAGAATCAGAAAAATAAAAGCTCTTTAGCCTCTAAAAAATTAATTTAAATAAGTATATCATATACTCTGTATTTGAGAAAAACATAAGCTCCTTGGTCTATTAAAAAGTTCTTTGAATCTTCTTTAGTCTCATACTGCTTATTTTAGAAAGAAGCCCAACTTTCAAAAATGTTAAAAGCTGCCTCAACAACAGTTACTTGTGATAAAATGATATGAATAGACAAATCCTAAATGAAGAATAAAAGAATCAGAAAACATATATTCATAAACGCAGTCTATAACTTAAGAAGAATAAAAAAGAATGAGAAGTGGCAGAAATTAGCATATTAAATCATTTCCACTATATGAGTTTACGATAATCACTTCAACAATTCTCTTTTTACAGCTTTTATAAACTTATAAAAAAAGGCACCTGGGTATGTCAAAAATGTATTCAGAGAATCTCTTCTACTTCAAAAAATAGTTAGTGAGCTGAAAATATATTACATAAACACCATCATAACTTCTATGCTCTCAAGATTTCAACAAACAAATACGGAGTATTAATTTTTCAATATGAATATAACGGTGCAAATAAAATTAGTTGAAGAAGCTGCTGACCGTACCTTGACATCAGAAGCCTAGGGCCACACCTGGTCTCGACTCACAAGCAGTTTCATTGCACTACTACAGTCAATCACCAGATGCTTTGCCTCTTCTATGCCAAATCTAAATGAAATTGGCCATATCCTTAAGCTAATAGAACTATATAAGGATACTCTTGCAATTCCCGATTTTTTATGATGACTTCCGCTCAGTCGACTTCCTCCGTTGCGGCAACCATGTCGCCTGCCTCTCAGCCGCAGACCATCATGTAGTCCACCATGAACACTACTGCTGCTATCTCTTCTCCGACTGTCTCATACATGGCACACGCCTCTACCATGCGGAGCAGCCTCCAGTCGATCCAGTTCTGCCGCCATCATCATTGATGGTGAATTCCTTCAGTCCGTCGGAATTGTCCTTTACTTTGTTCAACATGCCAGATCCATTCACATGGACATCGACCCCCTCTGTTCTCCAGGTTATGCTTCCGCAACCTCCACTTCCTCCGGCTCCATCTTCGCCGGCCAATATATTTTCCGGCTCTACACTTGCCGCTCAACGTGGAATTCTTCCGTTGGAGTCCTCTCAATTCAGCCGAGTGCTTAGTTTTAATCCTGCCAGGACATAAAATACTACGTATAGAGTATACGGAGTATTTTTTATTTTTTACCCGAAGTGCAAAACATTTACATTTGTGTGGATATAAAACCAAAAGTATCATAGGTGATGGGACTGGACAACACTCACGCAGCACAACTTTGAATAGAACACCCTATATTAGCTTCCGACGCACTACACAACCAAACCTTTGGGTTGGACTGAATCTTAACCACGATAGTGATGGTTTTGAGCGGGAAAATTGGACCGTTTTTCACCTCCTTTTGTATATAGATAGATACACTACACTACTCCACGACACACGCTTGGTATTAAGGATGGCAATGGGGGTGGGGTCGAGTGGAACCACCCCATGGGGGAGTTGGGGCGGGTTGTGGGTGGGGCGGGTATGGGGTTGGAGGAATTATTTCCTCCGCGCTTAAATATGGGGCGGGTAATGGGTTATGCACCCACCGCACCGCCCCCCGTATGTATACACATATTAATAATTAATAATAATAATCTCAATAATAATAATACTAATAATAACAATAAGGGTTTTGTACAAAAAATATTACTAAAATAAATTTTATTTTACACAAATATGACTATTAGTTAAAACAATTTGATCTAATAGTAACCTAAGTTTAAAAATTGAACATAAGTTACTATAATTTCATTACTACTCTAGTCACTAGTCACATTTTCGTAAACAATCTTCATTTTAGTCATAAATATGTTGTTGGGATATTGGATGGAAGGCCCAATATGTGACACCCCCAAATTTCCCACCCAAAACGTTGACATAATTGAAATAAAACTTTTATTTATTCATCAAAGAGTTAAAGAAATACAGCGGAAGTCTAAAATAGGGAAATGGGTGTTACCGCCACATCCGGTCATCTCTCAACCGGATGCACAGGCAACTAGAACATAACAACTAATTTAATAAAAGTAAAGTGTTTGAAACGTAAATGTTTATTTCATGACTAGTATAACTAAGGCGACTTCTAACTCGCTCTCGGGCCATGCAAGCAATCATCACTCGACAACATCATCCTCACTTGCACAAATAAAGTGCAGAAACAAAACAAGGAAAAGAAAACAAAAATTAGCTTTAGAGCTAAGTAAGTACTACCCAACCCCGTAAAATAATCATGTTTGACTAAAATAGATTTTTATATAATAATATATAAAAATACTCACACCATCAAAATTCTTTTCACATTGATTTTTCTCAAAACTACTTCTTTACAAAAATCCTCAAGAACTTCATAATAACTCTCCTCTTTGATTTCCTCAAAACTCACTTCTTCTCTAACTTCCTAGTAATTTAGAAGGGCGGTGCTCAATCTTTTGGTAGAGCCCGGTGGACCGTGGTTACGGACGGCCACCCCGAACAAGTGCCGGTACCACAACTGCTCTGTTGGAAACGAAACGACTACCTTAAGTGTGCACACCCCCTAAAAGGGATTCCAAACCCTCCGAGTAGTGAGTCGTAACGAGTAGTCGGGACTCAGTCTACCAACTACCCCTGAATAAGATATCTTGAATGATTAGGGACTACTACTACCATAACTTTTTCTTAAAAGGGATCATCGATCCAAATATCACTTTAAACTCAAACTGTACTTCTTAGTAGTAGCAGACCTAAT